TTTCCTTTTTGTCTTTTTTTTACTGACCGGTAACGGGATCGCAACCCTCGGTGTCGCGCCCATACCGGGGACCGGCAACGGGATCGCAACCCTTGGTGTTGTGCCCGCACCGCGCTCAGCCAGTGAGCGGGAACCGGTCTCCACATGGGATCCGAACACTCGGCAGGAGCGCTGCCACGCTCCCAAGCGGCGCACTCTCCAGTGCACCGCTGGGCCGGCCCTCTCAGAACATCTTTTACTGTATCCCATAGATTCTGGAATGTGTTTTCATTTTCATTTGTCACCTGGAATTTTTAAATTTCCTTTTTTATTTCTTCCTAGACCTATTCATTGTTTAGGAGTATGTTATTTAATTTCTGGGTATTTGCTTGGTTTTTGGTGTTCCTTTCATTTTTGATTTGTAGTTTTATTCCATTGTGGTTGGGCAAGGCAGTTGATATGATTTCAGTTTTTAAAAATTTGTTGAGACTTGTTGTGTGACCTAACCTATGGTCTATTCTAGGGAATGTTCCATGTGTTGCTGAGATGAATGTATTTTCTGCAGCTGTTGGATGAAATGTTCTGTAAATGTTTGTTAGGTCCAGTTGGCCTTGACTAGAGATTAATTCTGATGTTTCCTGGTTAATTTCCCTTCTGGATGATCTGTTCTTTGCTAAAATGGGATATTAAAGTTCCCAAGTATATTGTGTTGGAGTCCATTTCTCCCTTTACGTCTAATAGTAATCGCTTTGTGTAACTGGGTGCTCTGTAGTTGGGTTCATATATATTTCAAACTGTTATATCCTCTTGTTGAATTCATTCTTTTATCATTATATAATGACCTTTCTTACCTATTTTTTTTTTTTTTTTACTTTTCTTGGCTTAAAGTCTATTTTATCTGATATAGTTTAGCTACTTCTGCTCTTTTTTGGTTTCCATTTGTATGAAATATCTTTTTCCATACCTTCATTTTCAGTCAGTGTGTGTCTTTATATGAGGAGTAAATTTCTTGTAGGCAGCATATTGTTGGTTCTTAATTTAATTGGGGCATTTAATCCATTTATATTTAGAGTTATTATTGATATGTAGGCACTTGTTACTGCCATTTTGTTCCCTTTTTTCTGGTTATTTTGTTGACACCTTTTTCCTTTATGCTAGTCTTACTGTCTTTTTTTGTGAGCAAGTGTTTTTTTTCTAGCAGTGTATTTTGATTTCTTGTGTTTATTTTTGGTATGTCTCTTGTACATTTTGGTGTTATAGTTACCATGAGGCTTAAAATTTTTTTTATATGCATAACAGATTATTTTAAACTAATAACAACCTAACATTGGTATCTAAGAAAAAGAAAACAAAGCCAACTCTGCACTTCAGTATTATTCTCCCCCCACTGCTTTTTGGCAATTTGTTGTTTGAAGATACATTTTTAAATATTGCCTATCTCTTATATGGTTGTTGTATATGCTAGTGTCTTGTTAGATTTATCCTTTAGTCTTTATTCTGAGGATGTAAGTGGTTTATTGTCCACCCTTATGACATTGGAGTATTCTGAAGTTATCTGTGAATTTACTTTACTAGTTATGTACCTTCAAAAGTGTTGTTATTGCTCCTTAGCATTGTCATCTTTCAGATTGAAGAACTCTTTTTAGCATTTCTTTTAAGGCAGGTCTAGTGTTGATGAATTCCCTTAGCTTTTGTTTGTCTGGGAAAGACTTTATTTCTTCTTCATATTTGAAGTTAGTTTTGTTGGATAGAGAATTCTTGGCTGACAGTCTTTTTCCTTCAAAACCCTGAATATATCATCCCATTCTCTTTTGGCCTGTGGGGTTACTACTGAGAAATCTCCTGAGAGACATGTTGGGAATCCATTGTATGTTGTGTGTCTCTTTTCTCTTGCTGCTTTCAGTATTATTTCTTTGCCTTTGATTTTTGATAATTTTATTATGATGTGCCTTGGAGCATTCCTCCTTGGATTGAATTTGATTAATGACCTCTGAGCTTCCTGTAGCTGGATATTGTCATCTTTCTCCATACTTGGGAAATTTTCAGCCATTATGACCTTGAATGTGCTTTCTACATCTCTTCCTTTTTCCTCTCCTTTGGGTATGTCAGTTATGCAGAGGTTATTTCAGTTGAGGGAGTCCCATATTTGCTGTATTTCTGTTTCATTTTTTCTTATTTTTTCTTTTTGCTCCTCTCATTTGATCATTTCATATGTTCTATCTTTGAACTCACTAATTCTCTCTGTTTGATTAAGTCTGCTGTTGGAGCTTTCTATGGAGTTTTTCAGTTTAGTTAATATTATTCTTTACTTCTAGAATTTCTGTTTGGTTTCATATATTGATTCAATTCTTTTGTCAAGTTTCTCATTCTGCTCCTGGTTTGTTTTCCAGATATCATTTAATTTTCTATCTGTATTTTTTTGTGACTCCCTGAATATTCTCGAGGATTATTCTGAATTCTCTGTCACATGTTTAATAAGTCTCCTGTTCCTCTGTGTCCATTGTTGGTGTCATATGTCTTTGTTCTTTCTTGATGTTTTTGTCTTTACATTGATACCGGGGCATTTGAGGAGACTGCTCACTCTTCTAGGTTTTATAGGTGTTCTTTGGTGGTGTTAGATCTTTACTGGTTAATATCAGAGTTTTGTATCTGATCTGTGGTTTTGGTTAATTCCAGAACTGTGGGGACTTCCTGTGGGGATCAACACTTGAGCCCTGTGGTTGAGCTAAATTGCTGTTTTGCTGCTGATTCTTTAGGGAATGCTTTTTGTGCAGACTGGATTTTAATTGTTGGCCTTTTGATCACTTCTGGGTCTTGTGTGATTAGATACACCTGGGCTGTCTGGAGATTTTTCCCTGGGACTAAGTCTTCCCTGCAATTGCATCCCCTGTAGCTCTGTCACCCTGTCCAGTGTCCACTGAGTGGGCCTGTGCCAATCGGAAGGCAAATCAGCTGCCCACACTGCAATCCCAGTGTTCTCCCAGCTGGCCAGCCTCCCTCCTACACTCCAAATGCTTCCCTTGTGGTGTGCTGTGCGTAGGTCCCCCATGATGACTCACAGGCTTCAGGGTGGTTCCTTTGGTTGGCTGCCATCCTTGCTCCTATATGGGTCCATGGGACCCTGTCAGTGTTCTTGCTGGCCTGGGGACTGGTAGGGTAAATTCTGAGGCCCTCTTCTCCCCTGTGGACTCCAGGACATTTCAGCCAAAAGGCTCAGCTATGGCTTTTGTTGGCTCCTGCTCCGTGTGTTGCTGCTTCTTCCTGCCTCTCATAGGGCTGGCCCTAAAGCAGCGGGGACTTGAAACAGTTGGAGTGGTTTCTTTTTCCTCTTGCAGTGGCTTCTCCCACCTTCACAAACTCTGTGGGTCTCTCCTCCTCTGCGCCCGAGTTCCAGTGATCCCAGATTGGCAGTCTTTGCTTTCTAATAGTTGTAATTTGGTCAATTGTGGGGGAGAGTGACTGTGGGTACTGTCTATTCTGCTGTCTTGATGATGTCACCCTCTGCTAATATTTTTTAAAAGGGTTAGATCAGGGGTCTCAGGCCCAAGGAAAGAATTTGACCCAAAATGTGTTTAAAACACTGGCATAATGGGTTTTTTTTTGTTGTTTTTTTTTTGGTGTGTATGTGTGTTTTTAAAATAATTTTTAAATTTGAATAACTTTAGGCAGGGCATGTACTTCATTTGTATTACAGCCTCCATTATTCTGTGTTAGCTTATAGGTACATCCAGTTAATATGTTTATGTTACATGCCTGGCCCTATAGGTATTTGAGTTTATGCAGATACATATATAGTTAGAATGATTCGAGATGCACCAAAACACGGGTATCTAAATTGTATGTGGTCCATGAACTAGGTGTGAGAGAAGTTAGTAAACCACGTACTTGTTGCTGCCATCATCTAATTATTATCATGTGTCAGTAAGCTTGCATCGGTTTATGACTGAAACTGCATTAACTGGGCTGGCCAGTTAGCTCAGTTGGTTAGAGCGTGGTGCTGATAACACCACGGTCCTGTGTTTGAGCCGCCAAACAAAACAAAACAAAAATGAAACTGAATTAACTAATTTTATGTGCTTCTTTTTGTATCTAAAGGTCTCTTTTAGTCTTTCTGTGACATTAAATTTGTTGTTAAATTATTGTAAAGGCAACAATTTNGTTTTTTTTGTTGTTTTTTTTTGGTGTGTGTGTGTGTTTTTAAAATAATTTTTAAATTTGAATAACTTTAGGCAGGGCATGTACTTCAGTTGTATTACAGCCTCCATTATTCTGTGTTAGCTTATAGGTACATCCAGTTAATATGTTTATGTTACATGCCTGGCCCTATAGGTATTTGAGTTTATGCAGATACATATATAGTTAGAATGATTCGAGATGCACCAAAACACGGGTATCTAAATTGTATGTGGTCCATGAACTAGGTGTGAGAGAAGTTAGTAAACCACGTACTTGTTGCTGCCATCATCTAATTATTATCATGTGTCAGTAAGCTTGCATCGGTTTATGACTGAAACTGCATTAACTGGGCTGGCCAGTTAGCTCAGTTGGTTAGAGCGTGGTGCTGATAACACCACGGTCCTGTGTTTGAGCCGCCAAACAAAACAAAACAAAAATGAAACTGAATTAACTAATTTTATGTGCTTCTTTTTGTATCTAAAGGTCTCTTTTAGTCTTTCTGTTACATTAAATTATTTGTTAAATTATTATAATGGCAACAATTTTTTATTGTATTTGCATAAATTAATATGTAAAACTAAGGTTAGACTTTATTACCTATATGGAAAATCAGTGTTTGTGGGTTTTTTTTTTTTTTAAGAATTCCCTAGTGGTATGCGAGGTATGAATATAAAGGTATTATATAGAAATAATTATATATTTATTAGAATGTCTATTGCCTTTCATAGTTAAAAGTTAATAATAATAATAAAAGGAAACATAATCATCTCTGTTTCTGAAGGAAAAATGTAGGTAATCATGATTTGTCACAGATACTTTTTTAGTTTCTTTTTTTCTCTTAACAGACTTTGCTTCGCCCTCTTCAAGCTTTATGCTCTTTCCAGCTTCAGCATGGTGCTCGAATTCGCCTCAGCAAGGAACACCTTCTGAAAAATGGATTATATCCTAAGCCAATGCCAAAGAACAAACGCAAACTCAGGAAAATGGAACTGTTAATGAATAGTGTTAAAATTTAGTACAGTTATTCTTATGGTTCTAGTTTACGTGTCTTCAGTTGACAGTACCAAGTTAAGTTTTCATACAGCTTAGGTCTGTGGGTTTTTGACTCTTTAAAGTAGAATGAGAGTTGTATATTAATCTTGCCAGAAGAAGAAGAAAGTAAACCAAATAGCCATAAAAACAATGAAAAAATTTCACTGACTCAGCAAAAAACAATATTTCATACCTTATTTGTTTTAAAAAATGTGCCTGTAATATATTTTTTTAAATCCATATTTTAATTGATTAGTTGTTGAGCTGGGTTAGAAATTCTTGTTTATAAAATGGAAGGAAATTATTGTGCCTGATTGGAACGGTATCGTTTCCATTAATCTTTATAGATAATTAGGTATAGACCAATAACAGAGGATACCTGTATTGTATCCTCTGCTATCTTGTACATGAAGTTTATAGTTTGAAATAAGTAACAAAAGAAAATAATGATAATCAAGTAGTTTAGATTGAACTTATTCATTTCATAAAATAATATAAAGGAATGAGGAAACTTATTCTTTAGAGGCTAAACTTGAACTCAGCTAATGTAAATTAAACATTTTATTAATTGCCCTTATTTTTAAATAAAAAATTAAGTAGCCTGTAATTTGAAATAGCACACATTTTCATTTGTAGTTACTCTGGAAAAGTTTTGATTTTCTAGATGAATTTTTATTTTTCATTCATTGAAGAAGTTTATTGACTGTGGTAAAATGATTTTATTGAAGTGCTCATATGGAAATTACTGAAGTAGAATATAACACAACTGTTATTTTGAGAACTGTAACTATTAGGGCTATTTAAATCCTTTTTTTTTTTTTTTAAAATGGGCAAAATCTTTCAATTTAAGAGAACAAAAATACCCCTTGCCCTGTTGGGAAAATATTTACTAAGATTTTGTATAGAATAAGAGACATGTATAAAATGTGTATTTATATCCAACTTAAATGTACTGCAGTTTTGTACACATTTTGGCAAGAAGAAGGGAGTTTGTTTGGTCTTTGTTTATGACTTCTAGAGTTTCCTGTACCCAGTGTTAAGTTGTAAGGAAAAATTAAACATGCAGTTTAAAGGTAAGCTTGGTAAATATTTGTGTGTGTGGAACATGAACATACACCAATGGTTGTTTCTGACAGTTTTCAGGCTCACTTGTTTGTTTATTGTTGACCTGAATTAGTCTTTATTAAAAACTGTAATGCTGGTCACAATTAGAATGTTAATGAATGTTTGGGGAAATGATACAGAAAATGTTTTAAAATATTAAACAAAAGTTAGATTTCTATCTTCTATTGTTGACTTATTTTTGGATTTAAAAACAAATTAGCTCATTTATAATCTAAAACACCTAATATTTAATGATTATTTGGTTTAATAGAGAACAAATATATGTTATCATGTATGATAGTTTCTTAACAAATGAGTTAAAATCATCTTGCAGTAATTTTTTTATGTTGAGATTAAATTTTACAAATTTCCTTCAGTTATTATTGCTTTTTTAAAAAATAAAATTTCTATTTAAGACACCATTTATATCTCAAAATTTTATTTTATTTGTGTTGATATTTCAGAATAGTTTTTATTTTTATCTTTTAAATACAAAATTTTGGAGTACTTTTTGAACACTTAAAAAGCTTAAAATTTAGTGTTTTTGGAAATATATAAAATTTTCTTTGAGAAAGTATATATGAGTATAGTTTTTCAGATTATTTTACTGACCTCTTAACTTATTTATTTTTTATTTTTTTTACTGACTTGAGGTCTGAACATGAAGTGTTTAAATCCTAAGGGTGATTGTTTGTGGGAAAGGGGCCAACACTGAAATACAGTGATGAAAGTTATGTAACAGACTGGAGGTATACATAAGTCCTTTGGGATATCTGAAGCCAATTTTCATTTGAGAGTATACAGTTTGATTTTAAATATCGTATTTATTTATAATTATTTTTAAAGGCTTTGATAGTTTTATTATTATTAATATTAATAGTTTAAGGAATTGAACTTTTCAAAGTGCTTTTATATACCTGCCTCATTTAATTGTACTTTTATGCTACTTGAAGTTTTAGAAATGTCTCTACCAGATCCATGGCAAAGTATCTTTAATCATATGATCTGCTAAAGGCTCAAAACAGAACACATGCTGGGAATTCTGTAGAGAACCAGGGAGAGGAAATTAGGCCAAATCACATGGGCTTCAACTGCAAAAGCTTATCTGTCAGGTTGTAGTACAAGTTAGGAGGTTCAAGTGGGCATGGCAAAGTTGAATCTGATCTGGGTGTTATCATATGAAAGTTCTTTTCTGGTTAGCTGTAGGTACAGGAGCTGAAAAGCAACGTGATCTATTTTAGATTTCAAAATGATCACTCTGCTATGTGGAAAATAGATGGTAGTGTGCAAACAGGAAGATGTGTTAGGATTTTATTGTAGGACAACTGGGAGATAATGATGGCTTGAACTAAGGTGGTAGCAGTGATACCAGGAAGAAGTGAAAGAATTGGAGATAAGAAATGGAAGACTGGAGGTGAGTTATAAATATAAAAAACAAAATTTTAGGTTGGCAGTATAACTTGTATTAGTTATACAAATATAACAGTGATAAATTTTGGGCAAAATATTTTTAAAAACTGTGTTAGGGGATTGGAGAGTGAGCAGAATTAGGCAGAAATTTGAGATTTTACCCTTGGAAGAAGGGACCTGGAAGAAGGGCCCTGACATTAAATGGCATTCATGTTTATATGGCTTTTCTCCTGAGGGCACTCCCAAGTCCACACAGTATGGGATGGGTAGAACTGAGGACAGAGTTTGGGATTGTAGAGTGACTAGAAATTGAGATGTGTGTTTTGCGGGGTGGGGAATCTTGGAATAGGAGAGCCATACAATTTTCATATAAATTGCCCTCAAATTCTTGGCTGACCTATGAATTCTA